CTGCACAAGTTTTTGGATTAAAAAGCTTTCCACAATCTGCAGGATGTCATTTGGATCGAGTCACTGCTGATTCTACTGGGGCCATAAGTTACAGCTATCTTGGCACAACTGGAGCAGTTACAGCTATCACACTTGCAGTTCTTAGTTTCCAGAACAATAGCTGTAAAAACATGACAGTTCTTCATAACTCTTTAAAAAAAAGTGAAAAAGTCTTATGCATAACATTCACTTTAAGTGCCTAACAGTGTGGCCAGTACAAGCCATGCTCTAGATGTTAATAGAACAATCCCTGCTCAGTGTGGGAAAATTGTATCTACAGTCAGGTCCATAAATATTGGGACATCGACACAATTCTAACATTTTTGGCTCTATACACCACCACAATGGATTTGAAATGAAACGAACAAGATGTGCTTTAACTGAAGACTGTCAGCTTTAATTTGAGGGTATTTACATCCAAATCAGGTGAACGGTGTAGGAACAGTTTGCATATGTGCCTCCCACTTGTTAAGGGACCAAAAGTAATGGGACAGTTAAATTCTCAGCTGTTCCACGGCCAGGTGTGTGTTATTCCCTCATTATCCCAATTACAATGAGCAGATAAAAGGTCCAGAGTTCATTTCAAGTGTGCTATTTGCATTTGGAATCTGTTGCTGTCAACTCTCAAGATGAGATCCAAAGAGCTGTCACTATCAGTGAAGCAAGCCATCATTAGGCTGAAAAAAACAAAACAAACCCATCAGAGAGATAGCAAAAACATTAGGCGTGGCCAAAACAACTGTTTGGAACATTCTTAAAAAGAAGGAACGCACCGGTGAGCTCAGCAACACCAAAAGACCTGGAAGACCACGGAAAACAACTGTGGTGGATGACCGAAGAATTCTTTCCCTGGTGAAGAAAACACCCTTCACAACAGTTGGCCAGATCAAGAACACTCTCCAGGAGGTAGGTGTATGTGTGTTAAAGTCAACAATCAAGAGAAGACTTCACCAGAGTGAATACAGAGGGTTCACCACAAAATGTAAACCATTGGTGAGACTCAAAAACAGTAAGGCCAGATTAGAGTTTGCCAAAAGACTTCTAAAAAAGCCTTCACAGTTCTGGAACAACATCCAATGGACAGATGAGACCAAGATCAACTTGTACCAGAGTGATGGGAAGAGAAGAGTATGGAGAAGGAAAGGAACTGCTCATGATCCTAAGCATACCACCTCATCGGTGAAGCATGGTGGTGGTAGTGTCATGGCGTGGGCATGTATGGCTGCCAATGGATCTGGTTCTCTTGTATTTATTGATGATGTGACTGCTGATAAAAGCAGCAGGATGAATTCTGAAGTGTTTCGGGCAATATTATCTGCTCATATTCAGCCAAATGCTTCAGAACTCATTGGACGCCGCTTCACAGTGCAGATGGATAATGACCCAAAGCATACTGCAAAAGCAACCAAAGAGTTTTTTAAGGGAAAGAAGTGGAATGTTATGCATTGGCCAAGTCAGTCACCTGACCTGAATCCGATTGAGCATGCATTTCACTTGCTGAAGACAAAACTGAAGGGAAAATGCCCCAAGAACAAGCAGGAACTGAAGACAGTTGCAGTAGAGGCCTGGCAGAGCATCACCAGGCATGAAACCCAGCGTCTGGTGATGTCTATGCATTCCAGACTTCAGGCTGTAATTGACTGCAAAGGATTTGCAACGAAGTATTAAAAAGTGAAAGTTTGATTTATGATTATTAATCTGTCCTATTACTTTTGGTCCCTTAACAAGTGGGAGGCACATATGCAAACTGTTGTAATTCCTACACCGTTCACCTGATTTGGATGTAAATACCCTCAAATTAAAGCTGACAGTCTTCAGTTAAAGCACATCTTGTTCGTTTCATTTCAAATCCATTGTGGTGGTGTATAGAGCCAAAAATGTTAGAATTGTGTCGATGTCCCAATATTTATGGACCTGACTGTAGTGGAATAAGCAGTGTGTCATTGCTGATCACCTGGAAATACTATATGCCTGGCTGGTTTCAATCTTTTGTCAGGCACTGACTGCAACAGGTATGCATATTCTGAAAATCAGAGCTCTGAATTTGCATACTTTCAGGTCAGGGAATGAGAAAGTTATGAAGCCTATGGATCATCATGATAGCTTGAGTTATAGTATTTTCAGATGGGGAGGTCAGCTTTGAAAGCCTCCATGCAGGTTTGAAATGAACCATACTGCCTGTTCAGGCTGGCAAAGCACCAAATGCAGGGGCGAAAACAGGGACTTTTATATGGGCAAAGCCTGGGCATCTGATCCCAACTCCCATGTGTGCTTTTTCTTATTTAGGTAAACTGTCCAGTTAAAGAAAATGATCACAGGTGTGCTCTAACGTGTTTTGCCACCTAACATTAGCTGGAGATGACAAGTATGTTTTTCAGCAGTTACGATGGAGTATCTCTTTCAGATGCCTGGATAATTACTATGGATCAAGAACTTGAAACCACAGAAATAGTTTATGCAAAGGGCAATCAGCCATATCCCTGAAACAACCTTTCTTCTGTGGAAGTATTTAAAGAGCAATTCAAGGAAACATGTGAAACCAGTTGGTGAGCTGCTATTGCAGCCCAGGAAAAACCCCAGCTATGCTAAATTCAGGAAGTCTATTCTGTTTACTTTTTTCTTAGGGTTTATGGAATCCACTGCAGCCAAAATTCACAGATAATCTCCCACTGGGAAGTACATTTTGCTAGCTTTATGCTTGCTGGGTCACCATCAGATTTAAAGTTAAAGTTTAACACGTTCATATTTTGCTTTCTATGGTTCCTCTATTCCCCATTCATCAACATGGTAATGATTTTCATAAATAAAATATTTCTGTTGTCCTTACATACCTTATTGTAGACCCAGTGATGTCATGGGGGGAGGGGTCTGCCTGCTCATTTCATTATGTTTTTATTGGGTTTTACAATAAAAAAATATATTCCAGGCCAGCTTGCACATACACAACTGTTCAGAAATGTTGGGGGATGTAAAGCCAGGGAACTGGTCTCTTTGCTATTCTATGCAATGCAGGCAGGTTATGGCTGGTGGGAGGGGCTAGCAAGGTGCTGTACATAGCTTCCTGAAAACATCACAATATCATGCCTCAGTACTCCTCTCAAGTGTCCTCTTGGAAGCAGTGAGCTGGCTTTGGGGTAGAGTTTTATAACTATCAAAGCACCTTGATAGGTGATTGGCAGTCTAGAGCAGCCTTTCTCAAACAGGGTGCCCAGGCTTCTTCAGGGGTGCCTTGGCAAAATGTCTAAAAATTGCCCAAAACTTGTATACAAGTGGATGGAACAAGCCTACCTTTTAGTTACACAAAGCCTTAGGTTTTCATTGTGCACCATCACGACCTACTAGCCGCCGGCATCCTGACAACCAATGACATCATCAGTTGATAAGGAGGATGTCAGCTGCCTGCACAGCATCCTAGTTTGACCCTTCCCTGTCCCTCTCCATCAGTGCTGGGGTCACATTAGCTCAGTGATGGAGAAAAACTGAGGGAGAAAAGAAACATTGGAATACTACTCAGTACCAGTGTGCAAAAGTGTTTTTGCTTTGGAAGCATAAATCACCTCTAATGTTGGGTGTCCTACATGTGTGGATGTTGCTGAGTTCTATAAAACTATTAGAATAGTTTTTAACATTTTAGAATGGGGTGCCTCGAGACTGCCCATAATTTTAAAGGGTGCCTCAGGACTGTCCATAATTTTAAAGGGTGCCTCGACTGAAAAAAGGTTGAGAAACACTGGTTTATAGGAATGGGTATTGCTAGGTAGGCTGCATTTGGATGTAAATTTCCTTAGGTAACACCCATATGTGACGCAAAACATGAAAGAACAGAAGATAAAAAAAGAACAGAAATCTAAAGAATGAAAGGGATGGGTCAGTGACAGTCAAAGTGGGGAGAAAAAGCGATAATGCTGGGTGTCCTCCCACCAGGAAATGAGGAAGGCTCTATTAGACTTGCTGAAGCTTCTAATGCACACTGGGAGAAGCACACAGTATGCAGTGAAATCAAAGTAAGTAGAGACGGCAAGATATCTTCCTGACCATAAAGGCTCAATTACACTTGCAGTAGTTTGACTGGCAGTAAAAAGGTGTTGTCCTCTCACCGCCTATTTTATCCCTGAAAGACCTACACCACCACGCTACAGCCACATGCTAGGTGATTGCAACAGAGCCCCTTTATATAGGTGCCCTTCACCCATCCGCTGCCTTTGCAGTTTTAGGGGGAGCAGTATTTTTCAACCCCATTTTTACTGTTCCCTGATTATAAGTGTAAACAAGGCCCTATGATTGGGGGATCAATGGGCAGCATAATTTGAGTCTGCTTAACCAATAATGAATTTGTAAGTAATTTTCTATTACCTCTTCTGGTGTTTAATATCAGAATGTTCATGAATTATGATATCCTAAGAATACTAACAGCTGTAAATTCTCTGTAGAATGTAAGCTTTTTTCTCGATAGATAAAAGTTTTTCATTTTTTAGTTTGAGAATACTAGCAGAGGGCAACTGAGCAGGAATATCTGTCATTGCTGGGGAGATTGATGCTGTAACCTTGGCCCTGCCAACATTGGATACACCTCTAACACACCTGTGTACCAATCTAGGGTGTCATTACTACAAGAATTCCTGACTGTAGTAGTGTACACTACCCATGTGGGATTAGTGATTCCTTTCCTCAGGTCCAATCTCTGCAAATTTTCACCAAGATGTCCTTACCATCATCCAGCACACACCCTATTGCTTTATGTATAGGGAACATTGTGCATTAGCCATGATCTACAGGACTTTATGTTAAAATACAGATTAATTGCAGACCTGTATTATTACTATTAAGGTGAAGTATTGTCTGTATATGGGCATCCCACTGACTCGTCTGCTACTGTTTTAAAAGGTTGATAGGCTCTAGACCAGGAGTATTGAACTAAAATTCAAGGAGGTCCGATCACTAAAATTTTCTTCAGGCCAAGGTTCAAATAGGGTGTGCCCATCAGTGTGCCCCCTTATATTAGGTGTCGCCATCAGAGTGCAACTTTACATCATGTATTCACATCACGTCAGGTGTGCCCATCAGAGTGCCCCTTTACATCAGGTATCCCCATCACATTGCCACCTTATATCAGGTATTCCTGTCAAAGTGCCCCCTTACACTCAAAGTACCCCTTTCTATCATATTTCCCCATCAGAGTGCCCCTTTCCATCACATGTGCCCATCAGAGCGCCCCTTTCCAAAGTATGTGCCCATTTGTGCCCCTTAACATAAAATGTGCCCATCAGAGTGCCCCTTAATATAAAATCAGAGTGCCCCTTAATATATATGTGCTCATCCGAGTGCCCCTTAATATAAATGTGCTCATCCGAGTGCCCCTTAATATAAATGTGCTCATCAGAGTGCCCCTTAATATAAAATGTGCAGATCAGAGTGCCGCTTAACATAAAAAAGGGGCATGTTGATAGGCACATTTTATGTTAAGGGGCACTCTGATGAGCACATTTATATTAAGGGGCACTCTGATGAGCACATTTATATTAAGGGGCACTCTGATGGATACATGTTATGTTAAGGGGCACATTCTATTTTGTGCCCATCAGAGTGCCCCTGTAAGACTACACCCTACCTTAAGGGCAGACAGGAGCTGTGCCGGGATCCTTTCTGAAGGATGCTTGTGTACAGGCAGGAAGCAGGAGCCGGACAGGGCCGTCTTTAATATTGGTTGGACCCTGGGAAGCTGTTTTCTTGGGCCCCCCCCACATTGCAATTTTGCTCTCCACCTGCTCTGAGACATACAATAAATAGCAGCCAGACTCAAAATCAGTTTACTGTAGCAGATCAGGCAGAGATTGCGGTTGATTGACATCATATGAATACTACTCACGGATTGGTTGCTAGAGGTTAAAGCACACATTATGGCTCACTAGTTGCTAGAAGTTCCAGCACATTTCTGCTTGCTGATGGTTGCTAGAGGTTACTGCACATTGTTACCACTCACTGATTGGTTACTGTTCATCATTACCACTTACTTATTGGGTGCTGGAGTTTAATGTGGCACTTTCTCTATGAAGGAGCCCCTGGACTGAACATGGCAGTCTCTCTATGGAGGGGCCCCTGCACTGGAGATTGCAGTCTCTCTATGAAGGGCCCTGGGGCTGAAGGTTGTAATCTTTCTATGGAGGGGCCCCTGGACTGAAGGTAGCAGTCTCCCTATAGAGGGGCCCCTGGACTGGAAGTGGCAGTCTCTCTTATGGAGGGGCCCCTGGACTAGAGGTTTCAATATCTCAATGGAGGGGCCCCTGGACTGGAGGTAGCAGTCTCACTATGCAGGGGCCCCTGGATTGGAGGTAGCAGTCTCCCTTTTGAGGGGCCCCTGGTCTGGCGGTTGCAATCTCCCTATGAAGGGACTCCTGGATTGGAGGTGACAGTCTCTCTATGGAGGGGCCTCTAGAATGGAGGAGGCAATTTCTCTATGGAGGCTCTCCACTCCGAGAAACTGCTATCCAGTCCAGGGGCCCCTCTTTAGAGACTGATACATGCGGTTCAGGGGCCCTCAGTAGGGAGACTGCTACCTCCAGTTCAGGGTTCCAGGGCCCCTCCATAGAGGGACTGCTACCTCCAGTCCAGGGGCCCCTGTTTTTATAGGATGACATTAGAATGGAAGCCACTGGGATAGTAAATCAGCAGTGAAGTGACATTAGTGCAGGAAACTGCCTCCCCCATCGGCATTGTGGGGGTTAAGGTCCCACCAGTGTGTGCTCTGCATGTGATCTCACCTTAGCTACATTGAGCATGGTTCAGCTCGCCCCTCCTCCTCCTCCACAGGAGGCAGGTGCCAGTCAGACCTGTCAGTGTGGCACAGGACGGCATGGAAGTTTTCCGTGCAGTGAAAGGGACGGATCTGTCAGTGTGGCTGGAGGGGGGCAGCCCCGGACTCCCAGAAGGTGCCAGTCAGACCTGTCAGTGTGGCACAGGACGGCACTGGAGCTTGAGAAACAGTGAAAGGGGTGCACATGTGATGTCACGTTGCCGTGAAAACCACCCTGCTCTGCAGCAGATCTGTCATGGCAGGCTGGCGGTCCGGGGGGCAGCGCTGCTGGTGCCGTTCACAGACCGCCATTTAGTGAGGGCTGCTCTAGACAAATCTGAAAAAAAACATCACTATCTTGTTTTTTTTATGTGACAGAGAAGGTAACAGGAAGTTGGACAACAAACACAATTCTGTACCTGCAACTGCCCATGTTGCAACATAGATTATTATCAAGAAAACGGGACGTGAAGTATTAGGTTTCTTCAGAAAAGGATGACAAAGAGTGATCTCAATGTGAATAATCCTTTCATTGATAATGTGACACTGCAAAGAGAATATCTTTATGATAAAATAAAGCCCAACTCTAGCTTTTAGCTGTTTTAAATCTCAACTCCGGATTCCATGCTCTACTTTTCCAAAGTCCCCTTTCCCTTTTCTGATATCTTCTGGATGACCATGTTAAGCACTGGGTACTCTTTATCCTCAGTCCTCTCCCAGTGGCAGACTGTCCTGGATAATACACAGAGCAGCAGTCCGTAGGGTTCAATATTGGGTTGGCCCACCCTTTGCAGCTATAACAGCTTCAACTCTTCTGGGAAGGCTGTCCACAAGGTTTAGGAGTGAGTCTATGGGAATGTTTGACCATTCTTCCAGAAGCGCATTTTTGAGGTCAGGCACTGATGTCGGACGAGAAGGCCTGGCTCAAAGTCTCCGCTCTAATTCATCCCAAAGGTGTTCTATCGGGTTGAGGTCAGGACTGAGGTGCAGGCCAGTCAAGTTCCTCTACCCCAAACTTGCTCATCCATGTCTTTATGGACCTTGCTTTGTGCACTGGTGCGCAGTCATGTTGGAACAGGAAGGGGCCATCCCCAAACTGTTCCCACAAAGTTGGGAGAATTAAATTGTCCAAAATGTCTTGGTATGCTGACACCTTAAGAGTTCCCTTCACTGAAACTAGGGGGCTAAGCCCAACCCCTGAAAAACAACAACACACCAAAATCCCCCCTCCACCAAACTTTACACTTGGCACAATGCAGTCAGACAAGTACCGTCCTCCTGGCAACCACCAAACCCAGACACGTCCATCAGATTGCCAGATAGAGAAGCATGGTTCGTCACTCCAGAGAATGTCTCCACTGCTCTAGAGTCCAGTGGCAGCATGCTTTACACCACTGCATTGAACGCTTTGCATTGCAGTTGGTGATGTAAGGCTTGGATGCAGCTGCTCAGCCATGGAAACCCATTCCATGAAGCTCTCTATGCGCCGTTGTTGTGCTAATCTGATGGTCACACGAAGTTTGCATGTCTTTAGTTATTGACTCTGCAGACAGTTGGCGACTTCTGCGCACTGTGTGCTTTAGCATGCGCTGACCCCACTCTGTCATTTTACATGGCCAACCACTTTGTGGCTGAGCTGCTGTTGTTCCCAGTTGCTTCCACTTTGTTATAATACCACTAACAGTTGACTGTGGAATATTTAGTAGCAAGAAAATTCCACGGATGGACCTATCACACAGGTGGCAACCTATCACAGTACTATGCTTTTTTTTTCACTGAGCCCCTGTAAGCAACCCATTCTTTCACATATGTTTGTAGAAGCAGTCTGCATGCCTAGGTGCTTGATTTTATACACCTGTGGCCATGGAGGTGAACACCTGAATCCAATGATTTGGAGGGGTTTCCCAATGGTGTGTGGGGGGGTGTGTGTTTTTTTTTTTGTTTAAGGTTGAGGGAGGGATATGGGGGTACAATGAAGATGGCATTGAGCTTTAGCAACTTTCTTGAATCAAGCAAAGTTTTTCTTACACATGCAAATGTTTGGATCTTGCAGCTTATTAAATCCGGGACCCTGACTGTGACAAGGTAATACCTTGTTTTGATTTTAGAGGGTAGGTAACCACATCAATTCTCCCTGTACCCCATAGGTTTAAAAGGCTACTGATTCAAACAACTTTTGCACTAACCAATCTGACTTACAGGGAATTGAATTCACCCTTGTCCCATTTTTATCTCTGCTCTGCTGCTTTACCATCCCTTTAATTTTATCATTTAACAAGGCTACTAGTAGTAGCACTCCATTCAAAGTTTACCTGCACATAAAATGTATAGACTTGTACCGCAAAATATGCTATATATATAAACAAAGTGAAAAATCAACGGTGACATATAATAAAGAAGACAAGAAATGTATATTTAAACAATATATTCAAACAGCAGCATCTAACAGTGAATACAGGTGATGACAGCAGTCTGGCATTACATCAAAATAATTTTATAGTAAATCAATAGCACCCAATATTATAGTATTTTGCCATATTCTCAAAAATATAACATTTGTCATATAAGGACTTAACAGGACATAACAGGACACAATAGAACATGAATTTGCTACTTTTTGTAAGCTGAGAGGACAATTCCTCTCTACACTCAGAGCTTCTAGTTAAAACATTGGGCAGCAAGCAATGACATGCATCAACCCACGGCAACTAGCCAAAACCGATGTGGGTATCCAAACATGATTTGTCTTTGTTCATGTTATTGGGATTTTTACTTTAAAAAGGAGATTTCCACATTTGTCTAAGGTGAAAATCCTCTCTGAACAGTGTGTAATAAGGCCCCCTACAGGTAGCTCTGCACATACCCCTGTAGAAATAAAGCTTCTGCAAGTGGATTGGCTTTTTCCAACATGACACCTGGCCTGGGCTTGGATAATCATCATCCACTGCCTAGACTTGGTTTCAAAGGATAAAGCTGAACAGCTCAGAGCAGTCGCAACCAAAAAACTGGCTGGTGGCTCTATTCAACTTACTGATGGCAAGGGATATGATGAAGCACCACCCCTATCAGTCAATATACCATCAGTAGACCCCTTATATAGAAATTGTACATCCAACTTTAATCCTTTATTTAGCAAAGGGAGAAGTCCCTTTCTCATGCAATTTCCCAATGTAACCTTATATTGCATCAAAGCCCAAACTTTACACTTTTGAAGGGTCAGACCTTTTGTGAGGTTTTTATTTCTGCTTGTGTCTACAATCGCTTTTTCAGACTCAAACTTCAAGTACAGGTTTTAATCTGACTGGCGGTGGTTGGGAAGTATCTCCAATTTCAAGTACAACGCAACAAGGATCATGGAGGTCAGTCCAATGTATAATGAAACTAAAGCTGGCCATACATTAAGCATTGTTTTTTAATTCAACCGGCAGGTTGAACGAGGAAAAAAAAAAACAAATCACCTGATTCCCTCATCCACATATTCGAGGTGGAAGGGGGAATCACTTCTACTGTGCTATTATGTCTCCCAGCAATTAGAATACACACCTCAGTGCTGCCGGCTACAGCTGGTGACCATTGA